TAATCAGTTAGGTAGTCTTTACATTAACACTATGAGGTAGATACTATAATTATCACCATTTTATAGGCAAAAGAATGTCAGGCAAGAGAAATGAAGAAAGTCTCAAGATTACATGTAATAAAAGTAACTAACTTGTAATGATCTATCATATTACCCTATGTCAGGTGCTGTTCTAAGAGCTTTATATGTTTAACCTATTTAGATAATATACCTAACTAAATTATCACATAAAATCCACTGGCTATTATTATTGTCATCCTAATGACAAAGACGGGTAAACTAAAGCACACAGATGCTAAACTACTTGTTCATCTTCATAAAACTAGAAAAGGGTTAGAGCCCCACTTCCTGTCTCTCTAGTGAGGGTTGGAGCTGGTATTTGAACTCCGGTCACCTGGCACCAGAGCTGATGCTTTCCCACCCCTTCTTACTGCCTTGTAGAAAAATTGCACATGAGTTTTTGGTAGAATNTATACCTAACTAAATTATCACATAAAATCCACTGGCTATTATTATTGTCATCCTAATGACATAGACGGGTAAACTAAAGCACACAGATGCTAAACTACTTGTTCACCTTCATAAAACTAGAAAAGGGTTAGAGCCCCACTTCCTGTCTCTCTAGTGAGGGTTGGAGCTGGTATTTGAACTCCGGTCACCTGGCACCAGAGCCGATGCTTTCCCACCCCTTCTTACTGCCTTGTAGAAAAATTGCACATGAGTTTTTGGTAGAATAAGACGGGTAAACTAAAGCACACAGATGCTAAACTACTTGTTCATCTTCATAAAACTAGAAAAGGGTTAGAGCCCCACTTCCTGTCTCTCTAGTGAGGGTTGGAGCTGGTATTTGAACTCCGGTCACCTGGCACCAGAGCTGATGCTTTCCCACCCCTTCTTACTGCCTTGTAGAAAAATTGCACATGAGTTTTTGGTAGAATTATTAAAGTTTGGGATTAGAAGAAAGTTGGAAAGCGACCATTTTATGAAAAACTTATTTTGCATCTATTGAAAATGTTCTCCAAGATATCCTCAAGTTTTTCTGCAAGCTTTATTTGAAAAATTCTACTAATAGAAGATATACTAACCCAAGTGACAACTCATTCTATTTTGAGGTAATATTATTAGAAATTCCTTTCCGCTATTGTGATGAAATCTGGATTCTTACAGGTGCAACTGACTTTCTTTGAGCCTGAATTGGCCCTCTGTAGTTACAAGTGGATATACTAACCCAAGTGACAACTCATTCTATTTTGAGGTAATATTATTAGAAATTCCTTTCCGCTATTGTGATGAAATATGGATTCTTACAGGTGCAACTGACTTTCTTTGAGCCTGAATTGGCCCTCTGTAGTTACAAGAAATCTGGATTCTTACAGGTGCAACTGACTTTCTTTGAGCCTGAATTGGCCCTCTGTAGTTACAAGTCATAAGCTTAATTCCTCTTCCTCATTATAGCCCATTAAAAATCTGATAGGCCAGTTGGCTAGAGCACAGTCTTGTAACACCAAGGTCAAGGGTTTGGGTCCCTGTACTGGCCAGCCACCAGTAAAATAAAATAAAATAAAAAATAAAATAAAACTTATGAAATAAAGCTTTCAAGGAATGTAGTTTTCAGTTTCTTAAACTATCCCACATACAACACGAATCTGAGTTTTCTTACAATCCTTGTCTTTCCCCTGTGATACAAGTAACTTTATACATGTTCCTCCTAAAATATGAAGCACCACACATAGTATTTCAGGTATGCTCTGAATGTTGCAGAATAGAGCTAGGCTAAAACTTTCCATTTTATTTAGTGGAATAGTATAGTGTAGTGATTGTAAGCTATCTAGTTTTTATTTCTGCTCACACAACCACATTACTTGGGACAAATTTCCCCAATTCTCTATGTCACAGTGTCCTCATTAATAAAATAGAGATAATAATTATGCCTATTTTGTTGAGTTGATATGAGGATTAAGTGTGATCGTAGAGTTAAACATTTAGAAAACTGCCTGCCATGTAAGTCTGATATCAGAAACTGTAGGGAACATTATTTAAAAAGTGAGGCATTTATTGAAGGTCTTCTGTATATAGACCTGACATTGTAAAGAGAGAAAAATCATTGTCTGCATCCCCAAGGCATTTCCATTTAAAATTCTAGACTTTATGCTTCTTGTGCAGCAACCTATGATTGCACTTGATTTTGGAAAACCACAAATCATGTCACACTGTGGAATCATAATTAGACTGTAATAAGGGAAAACTTTTGAGCCCTGTGTCATGGCCGCTGCTATGAAATACTGTCTCTTCTATCCTATTCTATCCTACTCTAGGTCATCCAGCTCCATCTTTTGGAATCCTGATTGTATCTTCCAGGGTACTGCTTTTCAATCCAAGCTCCACGTCATATGTGCATATGAGAAGCCTTCCATCAGTGTCATCAACCAAGTAATTGATGAAATGTGAAATAGAACAGAATCAAAGGCAGCGCCCATTAGAGAGCTCCCCTTGGGAAGTCATTTACACAGTTAGGTGGGTTCCTAACAGTACACATATCCAGAACATTTCTTAATTTTGTTAATAAGGACACTATGGGAGATATTTTCAAAAGCCTGGTTTAAATCCAAATCTCTATCATCAACTTATATATCATTACCTGCTTGGTAATCCTAACTCTATTTTTAAAAAAGGAGGAAATAAGCTTAGTTGAGAACCTGTGCTGATTCTTAGTAATTACTGTCTTCTATAAGGGCTCTCAGAAATCTTTTGAAGAATCACTTATATAATCTAACTAGAGATTAATAATAAATGTGCCTTTTGTACTTTATGATATATTACTTTTTCATTTTGAAAGTTGAGATTTTATTTTCCTGTCACCAATCTTGTCTCTACGATTAAGTGCCAAGACAGATAATGATGGATTAGAAATCTCATTTAGAAATTCTTTCAGAGTTGTGAGATTTAATTTTTCAGGGCCTCAACACTTGAAGCATTTAAAGATCTCCCTTACAATCACTTCACTTAGTTTAGATTCAGTTACTGTTCCCCAATACTTTTCTAGCCCTCTCCAATCCAAAAATCCCTCTTAACAAAAGAAAGAAACAAAATCTGTTATTACACCGCTGAACTCAAACTGATAACTTCCTTTGCATTTTTGCTCAAAGTAAATGTGATTTTGATCCTTAATATCCTTTGCATTTCTATAACGTCTATACTTTCTGACTTTGATCTTTGAGACCATTCTCCTGGGCTATGACATTGGTATATTTGCCCAACTATGGGTCCTTTTTTTGTACATCCACTCATTCCTTCCACAAATACAAGTCGAGTGCCTGTTATTTGCCAGGCACTGTTCTAGGCACTGAGGATACAGTGGTGAATGAAACAAACATATTTCTTTCCTTACAGCCTAGTATCTTGTGTAAATCTTTGTTTATTGAATTTATTTCCCCGTTTTTTTGTTTTGTTTGTTTACACCTGAGGACAGTTTTCTTTTACATGCTGAGCTTTCAATTTTTGAGCCTCACCTAGCCATTTTAAGATGTCTTTTCAATTAGAGTCTTGGAATCTTAGAATAATTACCAGTTTTTCCTCTGAAGGTTTTTGAAATCAGCCCTCTGAATATGTTTGTCAATATCTAACTTTCTTTTCTAGCATTTCTTTCCCACAATACTCCAATGATTTTGTAAGACTAAAGACAGCACTATGGTACCAAGAGGCTTTGTCATAATTCATGCATATGTTGGGTTTTAGTTCTCAAATTTTTCTTTCATTTGTTTATTATTCCATTATGATCATGCATAGATTTTTTTTCACGGTTTTATTATATCACCCTGATATTTTAGCAGCTCACAAGAGGGATATACTCAGTATGGGTTGAGAAGATTTCTCTCTTCTGTATGTGATAATACTTTTTATTACCAATTTTAAATTTTGTCTCCATTCTAGGAAGAATCCTTCACTAGTCTATGCCATCCTTGCTTTATGGACTTGGAGCATGGTGCAGTTTCCACTTGACCTGGCAGGTAAGTATCTTGAAATTTTTGCAAAAAAACAGAAAATTATAAGACTTGATTATACACTGCACTTAAAGTTAAGGAGGCAATGGAGAGGATTTTCGTTTTGATATCTTAGTGTTAGTTCCAGTTCAGTCTAGAAGAAAAATAGATTGAAACTTAGGAAACCCACGAATGGATCCACACTGATGATGCATGCTATGCTGAAGATAGTTGAGTGGATAATCGCACAGCTTCCAAAGGTGGTTCCATTACCTATGATTTGTAAAACCTCCTGCAAACATTTTTCATCCATGAAATGGGGATGATAATCATAGTAGCTAGGGTTGAGGGGTCTTGTGATGACTCATTAAGATATGGTTTTTAACATGCTTAGTAAGTTGCTGGCATATAAATGTTATCTCTTGGTATTTATAACGGGTTATTTTTGTTCCTTTGTCAGACTCATGTACGATAACCTCAGAGGGATTAACAGCAGTTTCAGGACCACACATGAAAAATTAAAATTGTTCTCAGTGGTGGCCCTTGGAATCCCATTTGGTCTTACTTTAATAAAGACATAAAGCCCTAAGATTTTGCAAGAAGTAAACTGTTTCTCAGGAATTTAATACTAGTGATGATCTAGAGCTGCATTGTCCAATATGATACCCACTAGCCACATGTGGCTCTTTAAATTTAAACGAATTAAAATGAAACAAAATTAGAAGTTCAGTTTCTCAGTCACCCTAGCCATATTTTAAGTGCTCAGTTGTCACATATGGCTACCATATTGGAAAACAGAGATATAGAACATTTTTACCATCACAGAAAGTTTGATTGGACAATGTTGACCTAGAGTCATCCCATAATTTCATAGAATCCTAGACTGAATTTTGACTTAGGAATTCTCCTGGATGCCACTTTACTCTGAAGAAATTCTAGAATTTAATAAGTACATTTTCCTTAATCTGGCTTGTATTTTTATGGCACCCTAATGGATGGCCTCAGGATTAGAAGTTAACTTTAGGACAGGGATATTTAATATTTTCTGCATTTTGGGGGTTCCCTGTAATGGGCTCAGAGGTATGAGGCTGTTTGAGACCTTAGCATCCACTTTCTGAGACAAAATTGTTATCAAAATAGATGGAAAGTGTTGCTGTGGCTTTTTTGAAATACCGAAACCCTAATTACTGATTAATAACTACAAACAAATGCATGCTAATAAAATACACACAGAAATTCTATACTCATTGGTCAGCTGGTGTCTTCTGATAGAATATTAGGTGCCATCACTTTTGATATTGGGTAATACACTTAGGATGTCCTTTGGGAGCCATATCCTGACCCTAACTTCTTAGGAAGAGCTATTACTGATCTTATCCTGGGTTTTCTTTTGTTTTTCAATCTGCTGATCTTCACCCTCCCAGATCTTGTGGTTTATAGAATTGTTAAGAATATTTTTATTTAAAAAAGAAATTGTGTAAACTTTCAGAGGTGATAATGTTATGCAGCTGTTTGAAAAACAAAGACCAAATGTTACTTCTGACTAAATCACTATTGTATTTTCCAACAAACAGTACATTATGTTCACCCATATCAAAGTAGCTTCATAATATTTGCAGGCTCCAGTAGACGCAGGCATTCTTTGTTTGAAAACTCCAAATGGAAGGCTTCATTATTATAAAAGGATTATTTTCTGCCCTTGACCCGAATTAAATTTACATTTTAGAAATTAAAACAAAAGGTTTCATCTGTGGATTGAACCTCCTTTTGTTCAACTGGGAAATTAATAATTATAGCCAGTCTTTCTTGTCAACTGTGAAACAAAAGGGTAAGGAATTTTTAAAAAAGTAAAATAGCAGTGACATTTATTTGGGCTCCCCCCCATTAGAAAAATACATTTAACACAAGTTAAGTTTGAATTTGAATGCAAGCACTAGAATTTTCACAACACAACATACACATATGCCTGAATCCACCAGTAAATAAGTAGATCGTAAAGACAGGATCTGGAATGATCTGGGCCACATACACTTGGCTCCACCTCCCAAGCTTACCAGACAGTCAGTTCATTCATTATTTCCAGGGGAAGATTGAGGGACAAATAGAGAGAAGCCAGGGGTGTTTGTTTCTAATGGAAACAAGCCAATGAACAGGGGCCTTCTCTATACAGATATCAGTGTTATCCCTGTTTTCAAAGAAAAAAACCGAGGCCCAGGAAGGGGAACTAACCTGGCCACATTTCACTGCTCGAAAATGGGCAGCCAGGCTCCCTGACCCGAGGCATGGGAGGGCTATGGTGCTGGCCCTGCACTGCAGGCACCAGGAGAACCCGTGGTGGTTTCTCTTATTCGTCGTTCCTTCTAGTCTATTTTTTTTTTTGTCCTTTTTTTGAGACCAGCCACACCGCGCTCAGCCAGTGAGTGCTGTGAGCACACCGGCCATCCCTATATAGGATCAGAACCCGCGGGGGGAGCGCTGCTGCACTCCCAGCGCTGCACCCTCCCAAGTGCGCCCCGGGCTCAGCCCCTTCTAGTCTATTTAGCTGTGATTTCCCCAGAGGGAGAACTAGAAGATGATCTGCCATTTTTTAAGTGGAAGAAAACCACGTGGGAAGTGCTTTCATTTGTTTTACTCACACTAAATTACAGAATCATTTCTGGTCACATGCAAGCATAGCACCCATTGTTAGCGATGTGTCCCCAGTTCATTCTGCTTCACATTTCTAGTCTCAGAGAGCTATGTTAACTGGTCTGCCTTGTGTTTTCAGTACAGCATGTCATGTGCCCCTTGTCTGAGACCTCTAGGGGATTCCCGGGCCTGTTCTTTTGCCAGTACAGAGCTGATCTGTGGAACATCGGAATTAGTGTCTTCATACAAGATGGTCCCTTCCTCGTCGTGCGTCTCATACTGATGATCTATTTCAAGGTGATAAATCAGATGCTGGTGTTCTTTGCCGTCAAGAATTTCCTCGTGGTGGTGTTGCAACTCTACCGCTTGGTGGTGCTGGCACTGGGAGTCCGCACTTCCTTGCGAAGTCGGTTGCAAGGCCCAAAAAGAGAGCACAACTTTCCGGGTCAATCCTCTGAGATGGGGCGCTCCCCTGGGGTCTGGGACAGCGACCCTCAGGAGGGCCTGGACGTTCCTTTGAGAGCCTCACCAATCACCTCCCACTCCATACCATAGTTATTTATCCACAGAAGCTAGAACATTTGACCTCTGGTTCTTCTGACAGACAGGATCTCTCTCCCTTTTTTTTCAACCTTAGCATATAATAATTTTCAAAAGAACCACTTTGGTGATTTTCAACCAAAGGTGAGGAATTTTCTTTTTTCAACTGAATGGAAGAAACTTTGATTAGTGGCTGTCGCTACAACTTTTGTGTGAGGGTATCACATGTTATAGTTGTTCAATGACTAAGTGATTTGTTTGTCTTGAACTGTTTGACAAGCTATGGACGGGGTTGCGGTGACATGCCCTGGAAAGATTTAGTGCAGACAAACTGTCACAGCTGTTACCTGAAAACACAGAAGCTTTGAACTTCGGCTCCACTGTCAGACTGTCTCATCTGATCTTTTCTGCAGTGTCCCTCTGACATCAAAAACCATACATTCAGTGAATGCAGAACAAATGAAGGGAAAAGTGCCTTTTCAATTACCTCACTATGGGCTGGAAGCAGTGTACACCTCTGCCCAGCTTCCATATCATAAGAGCCCTATTCATCGCTGCACAGACCTTCCTGGGAAAATCATTTTTCTGGGCTGATGTGGTATTCTGTCATGGCGCATATGCTCTTGCAGAAATGTTATTGCTTTTGGCTTGGGTACTACGAAATTCACAGCAAGCCATTTCAGTGATATATCTACTGGTTGCAAGGCAGGAAATACTGGTAGCAATGTCACAATTTCCAATCTGAACATGATTTGCAGTGTTCGTCAGGATTTTTCTGAACTTTACCATTTTCTGTAATGCCAAGTTGAATCATGTGGGCTGATGCAGGGAATCTCTGAAGCAGTGAATAAAGGGGTTTCGGGCCCTGTAAGTGTTACCATGGTTTCTGGTGTCTGCCAGTAATCTCAAACAAAGCTGCAGTTCCTCTGAACCAGCACTCCTGGAGACAGCCTTTGGTCTCAGGGAACATGGTGATGGAAGATTCTGTCGGTCCCACCCATGGCCAACAGCCCATGATGAGTGATGGGGGTCAGAATGTGCCACCACATTGTGGGAATCAGACAATTTGCTTCATTTGCCTGCATGAAGACTTCATTTTCTCAGTATTGAAGTAGCCATGCTTCACCTTTACACACCTTTGTACTTTCCAGATGGAGGTGATTCAGAACCCTTTAAAGTGATTTTGCTCTTAAAGATATAGTGTGAAATTTTACTTGGGTGTATAGCAGTAATTATATGAGGCAAACAATTCCAAAACTGTTCTTTTAGGACTCAAAGCATAATTATGTTCTGCTTTGCTATATTAGTACGTTCAGGAATTCAAAGGGACTTAAGGCAGAGTATGCTCTTAATTGGGTGTGACCTATTGATAAACAGCAGGGACAATTTTATCTGTAGATTTTAGTGTGGCATGGTATCCATTCAAAATATTTGATGAAAAGTTCTATAGACAAATCCTGTTTTTCTACAAAGTAATGCATATTTTCCAATAAACGGCTTCTTCAGTACCAGTTATGTTTTTCTATTTCTTTCTTTTCTTCCTTGTGTTTCAAATTTTAACAATATAATGATTGTAAAAATTGTACATGAAATTAATTAAATACATTTATAATTTTCCATAATAATCTATGAAAGTTAAGATCAGGAATTTATATTTATATAAAGAAATTGACAACTTTTAAGGGCATGTTATTTAAAATGCTTAGCAATTGAAAGCAAAATAATAACTGCTATTTATAAAAATGCCTCAGCAGAATCTGTTTTTATGTTGACTGTTTTATGTTGAATATTTTCTTCCACAACATGTATGTGCTGCTTATTATTGCAGATTTGCTCATGGCATACTTTTCATGTTTTAATTTTTTTCTTCCAGCAAAACAAACATCGAGCCTCTAAAAATAGATAAAGTATAAAGTAGTAGGACTGTTGCAAGGATATTTTTAAATGCTTTCAAATCTGAGACTTAGCTTGGCTTCGTGAATGAGTTTCTAGTGTTTAAATGAAGTATTTTGTAATTAGCACTCCTCCAAATGCCTGGGAAATAAAAAGCCTATCCAAAACCTAGCTTTATTTAGAGTGCCAGGAAGTCAAAGAGCACCCAGAATCATCTTGGCAATTAATGGTGGCAAAAATAGATACATGCTCTGCAAGGTTTTCCAGGAAAATCTGCTAAGGGCAGCATTTGTTAACCTAACTGCCAGTACACCCACTCCCTTATACTTGCTGTTTTTATAGTAGGAAAAAAAAATTTATGTTCCTTTAGTTTATTTGAAAAAAGCCCTAGTCCAGGTTGTATCCCTAGGACCCCTGATGAAAAGTTAAAAATTTATCCAGTTAATTGTATGTTTTGATTGTAGACTGCTAAACATTGTAATGTTTTAAAATATCTAAGTGTTTTCTATAAAGTGGTGGAACATCAGTTACCTCCCATATGTTGACATCCTGGGACTTGTTTACACTTTATTTGTAATAAGATAACCGACTCAGTTCATCTGTATAATGTGAGGCAGGCTGTACCTCCCTGCCACACCCCCACAGACATGCACCACGCAAGTCCCCAAACACTGAAGAAAGTGTCTTATTTGTAGTTGTTGGTGCTGTTGTTATTATTTTTGTTGCTGTTGTTCTTTAATTGCTTGATTAAAGCTCAATCAAATGTGCTTCCTGAAAGCATATCGTTCCACTTGTGAGAAAAGGCAATGCACATGTTTTAATGATACTGTGTGGAAACACACCTCATGACCATCTCGTGTGTTTTCTTTGCCCCTCCTGGTTGAGTCTCAGAGGAAATGACTTGACATAGTAAGATGAGGAAACTGTCTTTGTCTTTGATTATGTTGTTGATTTTTTAAGCTATAAGTAATAACATAAGGAAATAAAAATTTGAATTGCTCAGTAACAGTCTTTTTAATCTTCCAATGAGGAGTCTTACAAATTTATCCATTGACTCTGTTGTAGTTGCACTGACATGTAGCACTACAGGCCTTATACAACCAGAAAGATTTGGCCAAGAAATATCAGGATTCACTATTGTGATATTAACTGTTAACTTGTTATTTAACAGAAACTTTTCAAAGGTCTAGGAAGGTACACACAGTAGGTGCACACACTTTAGGATTTCCACCAGGTTTCAGAGTTGAACATTGACTCTCATCAGCTTTGGCATTTAAACATAATGACTCTTGCCTAATTCTCCTGTTAAGAGAGAGAAAGAATAACAAAAGCCAGGCCTCTGTCCGCCTTTGCTGTACTCCAGTGCAAAGAAAGAGAGATGTTGTAATATATTGCAGAGCCCCAGAGATGTAAGTGAAAAACCAAACAGCCTTGAATTACAAGAATAAAAGAGACTGTGACTTTTTTTTTCTAATATCAGACTTTGCTTGTCTTACTTAGTGGGCATTCAGATCTGCTCTCAGATGCATCTGATTTGGGGTTAAACTAGGCAGCTGGAGGGTGTTTACAAATTTGAGGCTTCAAATAACTTTGCATATGATGGGAGTAACTCTAAATACTATTTGAAAAATTAACTGCTGCAACCTTATATTTTATGACTGTCCATCCTCTGAATCTTTCTTACATGAATACTGGATAAGAATATCTTTTCTAAAGTATTTATATTTATACCACTTTGCTATGAATGACTTTTGTATTTTATTGTATACATTAAATAGTGTGTGCACAACTTTATCTTAATGTCTATTTTTTGCCTTCTTTTCATGTCTTTGTTCTCTACAATAATTCATTTCCTTTGTGGTTCTTAAACTCCATTTTAAAAAATAAAACTGATCTATTTAGAATATGATTAAAGTGGCATTTCAAACCAGTGAGGAAAGGCTGACCAATTTTATAAATGATGTTGGGAAGTTTTGCAATCCATCTGGAAAAAATAAAGTTAGATTTCTATCTCATGCAATATATAGAAATAAATTCCAGATGGATTAAAGATCTAAATGTAAAATGAAAACTATAAATATTAGAAGAAAATATGGAATGTGTCTTTAGCATTTGGGGGACGGGAGAGATCTTCTGAAGCAAGACATAAAACTCAGAAGCAACAAAAGAATAGATTGACAGATTTTCCTACATAAAAGCTTAACATTTCTGACTAGCAAAAGGTACCATAAATATATCACTATTACTTTCTTTTCTGGAAGAGTCAGTGCAATCAGACAAGAGAAATGAGAGGTTTAGAAACTGGAAAGGAGTAGCCAAGTTTATCTTTATTCATGTAATATTTTACAGTCTTGAACACTTAAGAAAAGCATATTAAAACCAAATAAGCTTTAAAAAATCTGAAATTAAACAAAAATCAATAGCTTTTCTATATACAAACAGACATCACATAGAATATTTATCTGAAGATTTTCTTTATAATATAAACTAAAACCTTGTAATACATGCAAATGAACTTATGAAATGTACAAGATTTATGTGAAGAAAACTTTAAAAATCATTTTGAGGGCCATAAATGATTAACTTAAAGACATAGAAAGATATATTCTATTGATGAGTGGTAAGAAGCCCTGATATTTAAAAAAGTATCAATTTCCCCTCAATTGATCTATAAATTTAACACAATGCCCTTAATGATATCAATAAGATTTTAATCTTTAGTGACTAAACAAGCTGATTCTAAAGATTTCATGATAAAATAAGCATCAAAAAATAGTTGGAAAATACTAAAAAGAAGAAGAAAAATCAGAGAGCTTTCAATATATTTAAACATATTATACAGCTACAATAACAAAGAGAATTTGGTTCTGGCACATGAAAAAGTAGGCAAACAAATTGAAAAGAATAAGGTTAATAAATAGACTGAACTACATAAGGCATTTTGATATATGAGAAATTATTGGTTTACGTTTTGGAAAATATTAAATTGGATCTCTACCTCAATACTTATGTCTAAAACATTTCCAGATGGATCAAATAATTAAACATTTAAAATAAAAAAATAAACATAGAGAACTTTGCTTTTATAAGTGCAATCATGAAAACATTTTCTGAGCAAGCTATAAAACCAGAAACCACATAAGATTTATAAATTTCAGCTCATAAAATT